CGGGGCTCGGCCGCGGAACGGCCCGGGCGCCCCGGCGGGAGGCAGCGGCCTCGCCCCGCGCTCGCTCCTCGGAGRCGTCTGCTCACGGAGGAGGAGGAGGAGGAAGAGAAGGGCCCTTCGGCGGCAGGGACGGGGCGCGTCTCGCCCGCGCTGCCCCGGGCCGGCTCCGCTCCTCGCCGCCCGGAGAGGCAGTGTATTCGGGTGAATTTCGGCCCGAGTCGCGGAGGGACGCGCGAGAGGGCAGGTTATGGGCGTGGGATGGGCCGGTAGAGATGCCGGGACTGCAGGGAGGGATGGGCGCTCGTTAGCGGYGAGTATGCAAAGTCCTCGGTCACGCTTTTATCTTCCAATAAATCTTTTATTATCATTATTCCAGAGTGTTTTGTGGGAGGGGGTGGCAGCGCTTGAAAGTGTGGTGTGTAAAATGGTGCGGGTGTTTCTGCGAGCATCCCCCTTGGCGTTCCTGGCCAGGCAGCCTCAGCGGCGCTGCCGCCGGGAGCCCGGCGCGGCGGGGCTCGAACCCGGCGCCGCGGGGCTCGAACCCGGCGCCGCGGGGCTGCGGTGGCGCTGGGGCTTGGGGCGGGGGGAAAGGGGAGCGCGCGGCTAGCTCCCCTTCCCGGCAAGACGCTCCCCTTCCCAGCGAGAGGGAAGCCTGGGAAGCGGAGGAGGGAGGCAGGTAACGTCTTAAAGCGAGTTTGGCTTTGTGCTGCTCTCCGTGAACTCTGACATTTAGGGAGGTTTGGATGAATTATCGTTTCTTTACGTCTGGGATTTGTTTTAATAGAGCTAAATGGTTGTAGTAGGGACTATTATTTTCGCTGAACTTTTATTTTAATCTTACATGCCAGAAAGGTTTTTCCACTTTTCACAACTCCTCCTGCTTTCTTGCATGTTCTAGTGTTTTCCTGAATGCTTTATTTCACCGTGATGCACAATACTCTCGCTTAACTCATAGACGAAATGGTAAGTGAGACACCAAGGATAGGTAACTGCTGCTTGCATCTGGAAAGAAGTTCCTTTTTTTGTTTGTTTGTTTTCTGACAGTGTGACATGATAAAAAAGGGAGGAGGGAAGGAGAAGGAAGTCAGTTGAGTGCTACGCTCCTTTCATTCTGTTGAGAACTTGTGCTCGACTCCTGCGCAGAAGACTTTTTTTCTTGTCGCTTAAATATCTGATTTACTGACTAGTTCTTGAGGTTGTACCCAGTATGTGAAGAGCTTTGCTAGCCCATGCAGCATGACCTTGTATGCAAAAAGTCAAAACCTTCCATTTGAGCAGAGGTTAGAAATACTTTCTGATGAAAGTTTTTAGAAGGCTCATCCTGTTTACTYTTTAGTTGCATTTTAGCTTTTAGTTGCATTAGGTAACTGGAACTTAAAAATGTATATATTTGTGTGTACATTTACATCACAACCAAAAAAAGCACAGAATCCCTGTGTACTTATAGTTGTTTTGAGCTGCTTTGGTTTTTTTTTTTGTGTGGAACAGACATCTGCAATATGCAGAGAATCAATGTTTGTGGGGAYGTACGTCAGGGCTTTGTGCCGTGGGAGCGCTCGGTGCTCTGCCAGGCAGGGCTCCTGCCGCGGCTGCACCTGCGGAGGGCTCTGCTGCTGGCATCTGCACTGCTGAGTGTCCCTGCAGCTCAGGCATGGGTCGCTGGAAAACCAGCCATGTGCCATCATAGCCGACCGGATTTCCAGAAAAAAAAAGTGTTTTATTCCAGAATTTTAGGAATTCCAGCTTTCCAGAAAGGAATATGTGGTTTAATCTAATGATAAGTTGGGCTATATTCAGCAGTTCCTTCATTGGAAAATAGATAACTAAATGAGCTTGCACTTTGGATTATTCTTATGTGTGTATATTGCCAATAACAGGTCARTTTAATGTTTTGCTAAGAGCTGAATTTTGCTAAACTTATATAATTGTGCTAAAGAGGTCAGCACATTCTACTTGATACATTACCTATATTAGACAAGCAGTGTCTTCATCATTAAGAAAGATATGTTCAGATATATTGAAATTACTTTAAGATTTAGGTCTTTTTTTTTWMAAAAAAAAAAGAGAAATCATGATTTTAATGCTATTGCCTTGCTGTAGCACCATTTTAAAAACTGGCAAAGAAATAAAACCAGTGCTCTATGCATTTTTATTCTGTCTGAAAATAGACCTTCTTTGAGGCTTAGTTAACTACATCCTTGCAAGTGTGCTAAACTCACTCAGTCAGAATCGGAATTGACAGATATTCTACTGTTTTTCTGACTGCTAGAAGCGTTTATATATTTTTGTTTTGCCAGGATGCCTATAAATAAATAATGATCTGAGATCCTTGTAACAGAGCCAAGTCTATTATTTCACTTAAAATTTCAGAGATGAATCAAACTAATGTTCAAGTGTTGCGGGTGTTAAGGGCAGTGGCAGTGCTGGTACTGCCTGCTGTGAAGTTCAGGAAATGGCTGTTTTTCATTTCTCAGAAATGGAACGTAGTTGTTTCTTTGTCTTCTGGGATAGTTGTTGTCATGTAGAGATAAAGATTGAAGTGATGGTAATTCTATAGGTTGATAATAGGTTTATCAATCCTATGAATGGCTATCTTTCAGCATATGAGTTTTCAAAAATGCACTGAATATTTTGCATGGCTAAAATAGAGGTTTTATTTCCAGGCATGTTTCTCAGGGCTTTTTACTTTGCTGATGCCCATCTTTGCTTTCAAAGCTTTACAGAAATTAGTGCTCCTAG